GGGGGGGGGTGCCTGCAAGGTGCTGGAGGCGGAGAGCAGGCAGGGCTCCGGCATCCCCCCCCAGACTCCCACCAATCAGGTCATGGGGAGCCCAGCGTCCTCTGCCGCCCCCACCCGCCCACTCCCACATGAACGTGTGGGGACAGACAGCGGGCAGACGTGTGACTCTGCCCATGGGACCGCAAAGCCAGGGCCGCCAGTCTGGAGCAGGACTCCTGTGTCCAGGCCTAGGGGAGGGGACAAGAAGCAGGCTTTGGCCCCTGTGTGTGTCCCGGTCTCTTGCCGGGGCGCTGTCTGCAGACTCACTGCGGAGCGCAGGCCTTGGGGAGGGAGCCCTTAGGGAGCTGGGCCCTGATACTCCGGACAGCCCTCTTCAGTCCCCACCCAACTAGGGATGTTGGGTTAATAGGCACTTAGACCCAGGACCCCCCGCCTGGGAAGAGGGAGGGGACACTAGTCACCTCTGAGTCAGGGACAGGGCCACACTTGGGCCTGGTGAGTTCCAGGAGGGTGGCCCCAGCCTAGGGGCCTCTCTTGCATCCCTTCCCTGGCTCCAGCACTATGCCCCGTTTATTTCCCAGCAATTCTCCAGAAAGGGTTGATTTCTGTGCAGGGAGCGTGGCATCCGGGAGAATCTGCAGGTAGGACACATCCTAGATACCTCTAAGTTGCCACACCCAGAGAGAGGTCAGGGATTCTTCTTGCATTCCTTGTCCTCTCTGCCTCCCCCAGTATGCCCCCCTCCTCACCTGCTTGTGCTGGTTATGTAATTAACCCAGCTGAGGCTCTCTGCCAAGCTGACAGTGTCCAGGGATGCCTGAGGGGCCCAGGGCCTGGAGGGATTTGGGGGGAGGAGGGACTGGTACGTACCTCAGTGGGAAGCCCATAGAAGTAGATAAACACCTGTTGGGCAAAGGACACCACATGGGACAGAAAGGAGATCAGGATCCTCGTTTGGTTGATAGCTCAGCTGGCTGTATGGTTTTCACTTCCCTGAGTCTCTGGTTTTTGGTTTTGGTTTTACCTTCAATAAAACAGGGAGAAGAGTCTCTCTCCCTCCCTCTCTTTCTCATACACACACACACCATACAACATGTACGTGAACAACAGCACAACAGTGGATAGTGACCCATCCTGGGGTTGCTAGGAGGTCCCACTGAGATCTTAGTAAACCTCAGGTGAATGAAGGACCCCCGTACATAACCGTGGCCACTGTTAGTTGAACACCTGCTGTTCCTGGCACTGGGTTTTACTTTCATGACCTCACAACACCCTATGAAGTTTCTTGCCCAAGGACACATTTTAGGTGGCAGAGCTGGGAACCAAACCTTGGTGGGTCTCACCCCAAATCCTGCCTTCTGTTTACTGTCTGTACACATACCCAATAGATTGGATTTTCTGGGCCAGGCCAGACTGAGGGACATTCAGCTGTGAACTGCGCATATATGGAAAGAACATATATCCACAGAGAGAACATGCACATAACCTGAAAAGCATGGCCTTGTCGGAATCCAGCAAATCCGTCTGCCCTGGGCCCACATAGTAGGCACTGGTGTCACCTTCCTGTGAACAGTCCCTGGACAGGAGGTCTCAGGCGTGGACCAGCCTCCCTGGTCACCATCCCCAACAGAAGGAGAAAGCAGCTGGTTAGGAGGTTTGCTTGGATTATCCCAGAAGTAAGGCCTGTTAACCCCACTTTATATGTGTGCAGACTGGGCAGGTGATTTGCCCTCTGACCACAGCTAGGAAACATCACAGCCGGGGTTTACCCCTAAGCTCCGAAGTCACCGAAACTGAGCATAGCAAGGTCCAAGCCTGTGGCAGTCCTTTCCTGGGCACCTGCTATGTGCCAGGCCCTCTGAGTTTGGGGGGATGCCAGAGAATGAGACATAGCCCTTGGCCTGTAGGCATTGACCAGCTCGAAGCACTAAACTCGGAGGAGGTCGGAGGTATTGCAACTTTGTGGAGGGGAGGCTGTTGCTGTCAGCTGTGTGCCCTTGGGCATGCTTCTCGCTCCCTCTTGAGTCTTCTGGAAAGGGGGATGGTTACCCATCCCTGAGGGCTACTGTTTTGACTATGGATAACCATGTGGCTGTGCTAACACTAAGTGTTCAACAAGTAGTGTGCTCCAGAGCCAGAGCAGTCATCTGGGCCAGGGTTCCCAACAGGATGTAAAACATCCTGCCCAACAAAGGACTCTCTCCACAAAATGCTGTGAGTGTCTCTGATGAGACACGCTCGGCCTTGGCTCATCCTGGTCTCTATGGGAAAGTGGGGATTGGAGCAAGTCTAGGGTGCGTCCCACTCTGCTCTGCAGCCTGGCCTGGCTGGGGGGGGTCGGAAGTGGCCACATGTCTGATCATAACACAAGAAAGAGTGATTCCCACCGGTGGGCGGGTGGCAGGAAAAAAAATGGAGAAGGGAGGGTGGAGAGGCTCTGGGTAGATGGAGCTAGGTGTTCTGGGAAAGGGAAGGCTTTCTGAGAGGCAGTAACAGCTTCAGCCAAGTTCCTGGGCTGGGGAAGTACAGGCCAGGTCCAGGGAAAAGCGGGCCCACCAAGCCCACCTCTTGTCCCCACAGTCCAGGTGGAGGCCGCAGAGGGCCCGGGGCAAAACAGGGGCAGCAATGGTGGGTCCTGACGGTGGCTGAGCCCCCAGCCCCTGGAATATGCAGCCCGGGGGAGCCCCAGGCAGCGGCGAGGACGCGGTGGCGGAGCGGGGCGGGAGGCATGGTCTCCACCTACCGGGTGGCCGTGCTGGGGGCGCGAGGCGTGGGCAAAAGTGCCATCGTGCGCCAGTTCCTGTACAACGAGTTCAGCGAGGTCTGCGTGCCCACCACCGCCCGCCGCCTCTACCTGCCTGCTGTCGTCATGAACGGCCACGTGCACGACCTCCAGATCCTCGACTTCCCACCCATCAGCACCTTCCCTGTCAACACACTGCAGGTAGGGGGGCCGGCTGGTGTGGCCAGCCGGGGAGTGGAGGGGTGGGGGAGGCGCTGGACTCCCGCCTTTTCCAGGCTCTGGCCCTGTCCCCATCCTTCAGGCTGTGAGGGCTCCATGCAGCACCACAGGCCACCCTGTCTCGAGCCATCACGTGTGTGCGGCTTTATTCAGTGCATCTTTAATGAGTGTATAACGTGTGGTGGGCACCAGGGCAGAATGGCGGGCAAAACAGATGTGCAGTTTGCTCTCCAGGAACTAACTCACCGTCGGGTGAGAAGGCAAACCGGCAATTATTACATAGTACAGTAAATGCCGTGGTCGGCATCAGCTCAGTGAGATTGGGCAGGTAAAGGGCAGTGGAGAAAAAGGCAGGAACACTAGATGCTATTAATACTCTGGGTTGTGCCCACCGTGGCCTCAGACCCTTGTCATCTAGGACAGCAGAAGAAAAAGCCAGGGCCTGGGAAAGGTATGTTCTCCGAGACTGGAGGCCCCAACCGGTCCTTTGCCTACAGGCCGTTCTTTAAGTGATGCCCTGCCCCCTGGCCTCAGGACTGGCTCACTGGGCACCCTTCCTGCAGGGGGTGGATTCAGATGCCCCCAGTGTCCTGGCTTATAGTGCCCCTTTCCCCAGCCTGCAGGGACCAGGCCCCTCTTCCGTCTCTCTACCTCTGGCTTGAGAGGGGATAGGGTGCTAGTGGAGGCTTAGCTCTAAGACATATCTGCTCACCGAAGGAAGCCCCTGACCAGAGCGTTCAGAAGTTTCTCTGGAAGGAGAGGCAGGGGCCACAGCTTGGCCAATTGTGACCACAAATACAGCAATCTCTGGGGCAGGGGCTAGGTCTCAGCACTGTCTCAGCAACTCCGGGCAGGAGGACCTTGGCCCAAGCCCAAGGGTACCTGTCTGTCCCACCCCAGGTGTGGGGGATTAACACCAAAGACAAAAACCTGATCCACACATGGGCCTCTTGGAAAAAGTGAGATCAGGGCAGCGCATCTGGGGTCAGGGCCCTCTGGTTCTCCTCCACGGTGGACTTGAACAGCGGCCCAAGTGGATACTCAGATCTTGTGCCAGTTTTGCACATTGAGCGGCTTTTTTCACATTTTGTTGTAGATTTAATTTTAATTTAATATCGACTTTGGAATGGGTAAGACATAGTTTAAAAGTCCAAACTTTGTGGAGTGCCTGACCGGGTCAGTCAGTTGCGTATCCACCTCTTGATTTCGGCTCAGGTCATGATCCCAAGGTCATGGGATCAAGCCCTGCATCAGACTCCATGCTCAGCCTGGAGCCTGCTTAAGATTCTCTCTCTCTTTCCCTCTGGCCCTCTTACCTGCTCATGCCCTCTCTCTCTTAAAAAAAAAAAAAAAAGTTCAAACTGTAAAAAGGTACATACAGAGAAATCTCAATCTCGCCCCTGCCTTCTTCACCCTGATTCTTGCCCCACTCTCTATGGCCATTGTCAATTGTTTTTTTACTCCCACTTCCAGTGTTTCTATAGATAAATAAGAAAATGTATTCTTATTCCTTTCTTACAGAAAAAAAAATTGCTCTACACCTTGTCTTTTTGCTTTACGTTTTAACCTGGAGATCTTCCCCGAGTGTTAGTACCTGAATGTCAGTAGCATGGCCACACTGTGCCCTATCGGAGAGATGTACAATGGAGTCCCCTCTTGTTGGACGAGTGGGTTGTTTCTAGTCTTTTGCTGTCTTAAGCAATGCCACATAAATAGCCTTGTTCGTAGTCTGCACACAGGGAGGTGTTTCTGTGGAAACGAGCCCCCAAAATGGCATTGCCAGGTCAAAGGATGAATGCAGCTATATTTGGAAGATATTGCCAGATTTCCCTCCCCTTCTAGAAAGTTGCACATTTTGTGTTGCGAGGACTGTACGTGAATGCTACTTTCCCTAAAGCCTTGCCATCAGGATGTATTGTCCACCTTCTGGAGTTTTGACAGTCTAATGGATGAGATGAGATATTCTCAGAATAGTTTTTATTTGCATGTCTGGTTGTGACCAAAGTTGAGCATCTTTTCATATGTGTAAGGGCTTTTGCGTTTCTTTTTTGACAACTAGTAATGCCTTTGTCCATCTTTCTGTTGGATTGTTGGCCTCTTTCTTCCTGATTGATCCTGAGTTTTAGACTCTCCAGGCTATCCAGGCTTCACACAAGAAAGGGACCCTGAGCAGAGAAATACAGAGAAAGGACCCTGCATGCCCAGAGATCAATATAAAAACCCAGTGGCCACTGTCTGAAACGAAAAGGGAAATACATTCTTCCCCAATGACAGATGAGATCCAGCCCAGAAGAGAGTGGCATTTTCTGAGCCTCAGTCGTTCCTTCTGTAGTCCCTCTCCTCCTATCAGAGGAGGAAGCTGAGGTTAGAGCAACAAATGCATGGTCAGCAGCCAGGTGTCCTTAGAACTGGACTCAGTTTTCAGTGCTCTTTCTTTGTTGACACAGCCCCAAGATGATTTCTTACAGTCTGGAACCCCGCACAGAGCTAGCTGGAAGGAAAGGTCAGTTTTCTTGCTCCCTCCCTTCAATCAGGAGTGAAGGCACAACCCAGACAATCAGGAGACTTCCTCTTCTCCCTTTTAGGCGCCCCCCCCCCCAGCAGAGCAGTGGGCGGGAGGGCAGGCTGGAGGCCCTCTGGAAGAGGGAGCATGTTGGGGGAGAGGTGGGCTATCACCCTCAAAGGCCGTCAGCTGTTCCCTCTCCCCAGCGAAGGGCTGGAAGAAGGTGGGAGCCTCTCTGCCCGTCTCCCCGTCCCTCCTATTTCCCGCTGATATCCAACCCTTGCATGAGATGAGGGAGGAACTGTGTGCACATGGGGGTCCCAGGCTCCCAGAGGGCACCGTGTCCAGCTGAGTGCAGTCTTCCCTGGCCTGAGAAGCCAGCTCCTGGTTCCCTGTGGTTTTAGATTTGTCCTCAGCATCTTCTCCCTGCACCAGAGTTAAAACTCAGCACAAAGAAAAGATGCCACATCATCTCCCTGGGGAAATCCACTGCAGCAGCTTCTAAGCCTTTGAGTTGGGAAGTGCTTTTCTGGAGCTGGACTTAACTCTCTACTCCTGCCTCTTTTCTTCCTGCTCTGAGGTGGAGAACCAGCTGTAGTCCTGCAAGCCTGGCCCCTGCCCCAGCGCAGCTCATAAGCTGGCACCACGGGGACATGTCTGCACCTCCTCCGAGTCTTTTGCTAGGGCCCTCAAGGCAGAAGACCCTGGGTCTCTTTGTCCTCGGAGGCCTCCCCTCCCCCAGCTTCAGGGACCCCCTTCTTGTTCACACACCAGCTGCCTTCAACTGCTCTTGCATTTGCCATCTGCTGGAAGGTTAATCAGCTCATTAGTCTCCTAAGGAACCTTCCCTTTAGTACACTTCAGCCTTTCCAGGAGCCTACTCCTCTTGAGCTGCGGCCCCTCCTTGAGAATTTGCGACAAGCATTCAGGATGCTCTGACTCCCCGGAGCCGCCTTTGGGCCCTGCTCCACATCAGCCCCCACTGTGCGTCCAGTCTCAGTCTTTTTCTCCTCGACCCTGACGGCAGCGTGGAGCACACAGAAAGGACAATTCGGGTAGCAATCCAAGGGCAGTGTTATAGGCGGGCGTTGCATTGATTCCAGCATGGAACAGGTAGGGTTCAAGACTGCAGAGGGCTCACCAGTCTAGGCAGTGCAATTAAAGAGCCTGCTGAGAGCCAACACAGCTGGGAGGCACTCAGCAGGGAGGAGAAGGAGGTGTGTAAAAATGTGGAAGACCTGGCTAGGGCCCTCTCAAGAGCTCACAACAGAAGCAGGGAACTGGGGATGGAAACAGCTCTAACCAAGGTATAACTAAAGGATTCTCAGAACACAGGAGATGTTCTGGGCGCTCGGTCAGTTAAGCGTCTGACTCTTAACTTCGGCTCATGTCAAGATCTCACGGTTTGTGAGCTCGAGCCCCCCATTGGGCTCTGCACTGGTGCCATGGAGCCTGCTTGGGATTCTCCCTCGCTGTCCCTCCCCTGCCCATGCTCTCTCTCTCAAAAATAAATAAACATTAAAAAAAGAGGAAGAAGAAGAACACAGGAGATGAAAGGCATAGTCTTCTGCTTGCAGGAAGGCTTCCTGGAGGAAGAGGAAGCATTTAAGCTGAGCCTT